CCCGAGATGGACCCGAGATGGGACCCGAGATGGACCCGAGATGGAGTCCAAGATGGAGTCCGAGAAGGACCCGAGATGGAGTCCGAGGTGGAGTCCGAGATGGAGTCCGAGATGGACCCGAGATGGACCCGAGATGGAGTCCGAGATGGAGTCCGAGATGGACCCGAAATGGAGTCCGAAGTCGAGACCGGGACCAAGACCGAGACCGGGACCGAGACCGAGACCGAGATCGGGACCGAGACCGAGACCGAGGCCGAGTCCGAGTCCAAGTCCGAATCCGAATCCGAGTCCGAGTCCAAGTCCAAGTCCAAGTCCGAGTTCGAGTCTGAGAGGGTGAAAGCCCAAAGCGTTCGTCTCCCAGACCCTGGGGGGTTTGGTGAGCTCCAAAAGTATAGTAAGGGGGAGGACTGCAGTGGAGCCAGTTTGGCCAGGAAAGGCCAGTTTGGCCCAGGAAGGCCGGACCCAGTGTTGGGTGATGAGCTGCCCATTGGGAAGTCCAAAACTAGAGTGAACACGGACCGACAAGCGGGGTAGCTTGGTGAAGTGTTCAAGAGCCAGCTCTAGTTCCCCCAGAAGATCGACTAGCCAATGCTCCCAGTCCAAGTGTGGGTGGCACTACCTACTTGGATACCTGGTGTGGCTCAACGGAACCTCGCTTTAAGCCCATGGCTAGAGCACCCAAAGGTAGAAGGCGAGGAGAGTACCCCCGAGGCCCGCGTAGGGCCACGGTGTTCCGAAATGTTGCCCCAAAGTCCCAGACTGTGGAAAGGAAGAGGAGTAGTCCTCTAGTGTGGTGACAAGGGACACAGTCACACAGTAAGGAAGTCCTAGAGGACAGTTGGACTTAGTGGTTGGGCCTGTGGGCCTTGATCCAGTGGCAATGTTGGTGAACACGGCCATGGACAGAAAGGGACTTGGTGGGGACTAGAAAGGAGATATTGGGGAAGGCTATTTCCCATGTCTGCGGGCATCCTAAGGATGCTAAGGAGTGGATCTGGGATGACCACTCATGGACGGATAGCCCAGTCTTGGAGAGATGGGATTGCAATGCAAGTGGTGTTGGACCACCGATGTGACCAAGGTGATTGGGCATGGCCTAGCGTAACGGGCTGGTATGTTGGTGGTGCCTTGGGGTGTCGGTCAAGGGATCGGACACGTGGAGCACTTGGACCAAATGCAAAAGTTGAGTGGCGTGGATGCCATTCGCGGGGCTAGCAAGCCCCAAGTTCTGAATGGGATTTATGGAGGTTGTGAATGAGACTCCTCCAAGTGGTCGGAAGTGCGGTTAAGTGAGTAAAGTAGAATGGAAAAATTAGTCGCTTACACTCTCCTATTATTCTCTCTATATTAGTTGATACAGACTCGAGTTTATCTTTTATTATTTGGCTTGTTGCCACGGTTGTGTCTGTAGACGATCTTAAGCTTGAGTTGTAGTCATTATGGGTGGTGCCGAGTTAAGCTTTAAACCTCATCCTTGGTATTAATTGATTGTGGCACAATCATGGCAAGTGTGACTTTGAGATTTCTCCCCCTTGTCTCATACTTCTTAATATTTCTTCCATTCCTCTCACTTCTATACCTCTTCATCCTTCTTCTACCTTTGCTTCCATCACTTTTGTCTCCTCCTTACTTCCTTTTAAGTTTTTGTTTTATTCCTTTCTTTCCTTTTTTGATCCCTCTGATGGTCTTTGGGTTGTAGCAGTTGACTGACTCATAAAGGAGTATGCCAATTTCTTTGAATTTGATATATTATCTAGGACTAAGATTGCAATATATCATCCTATTCCAACTAAGGATGCTTGTATAATCAAGTTTATGTTATTCATTGGTCACCCAAAGAAATCAAGATTTTATATGCAAACGTCAAAGACATGTTGGAAAAGAAAGTTATTTAAAAGTCATGGAGTCCTTAGCTTTATAAACCTCATCTTGTGACAAAGTCTGATGGGAATATTCATTTTTACATCGACTATCATTTATTAAACAAAGTAACAATCTTAGATATATACCCTTTTCCTCATGCTGTTAATCTCTTGGATCATCTAGGGAGAAGTTGTTAGTTCACTAAATTAAATTTTGCTTCTAAATACTGGCAAGTACTAATGGCTGAAGAAGATATTCCTAAAACTATTTTTCATACACCATTTGATTTGTATAAGTTTTTAGTGATGCCATTTTATTTAAACAATGCTCTATGAACTTTCCAATGGATGATGGATGAGGTTTTTTGTGATATGCTAAAAGTGACTACTGACTTCATCGATAATATTTTGATCCACTCAAAGAGGACATGAGAGGAACACGTCTATGACATTCGTAAGGTGTTGGATCGGCTATGGGAAGTTTGTTTAAAGTTGAAGCGATCGAAGTGCATGTTTGAATCTAAAGACATGACTCATTTTGGTATTATATTTCTCATAAGGGTTTACAAGTTGATCCTGACAAACTTGTGGCCATTCTAAAGTTCCCTACTCTGAAGGGTGTGAATGATGGGCATTGCTTCTTAGGCAAGGTGCAATATCTCAATTGTTTGTTGATCATTTTTTTAATCGCTAAAGTCGTCAATGTCATCTTTTATCTGGTTTGTAGATTGTGAGCAGGCGTTTATGAATCTCAAAGAGCTATTAACTACTCCTCCAATTTTGGCATATCCTAATTACACTTGACCTTTCATTTTGCACATAAATACTTTTAATATCAATCTTGAAAGTGTGTTGATGCAAGAGAGCTCAAGTATACCTAATTAGCACCATCCCATTGCATATATCAACCATACATTATAACCAACAGAGGTGAACTACTCCACAACAGAAAAAGAGTGTTTAGCAGCAGTTTAAGGTTTTGAGAAACTTCATGCATATCTATATGGTTCTCGGACATTATTAAAAGGTGATTATGCTATAGTTATTTCATTATTAAAACAAAAGAACTTAATTGGTCATACTGCTTAGTAGGCTTTGAAGCTTTAGATATATGATTTTGATAGTGTTCATTGCTCAAGGAGTTCTATGGATGATGTTGATGCCCTTTCTTGAGCTCCTCTTCCGTCTTCGTTCTTTTCTCATATTTTTTATGAACCTGTTGTTCTAACGTTTGTGATTTTTTGAATGAAGATTTTGTGCCATCGGCAATTGCTATACTTGACATTCAATGTCCACAAGGTGCAGAGTAAGATTTACCTTCTCTTGACGAGGTTCGTGAGGCTAAAAAAATTAAGTTGTGGATTCGAAAGCTTCGCGATGGGCTTGAGAATCTTGCATCATTTGCTGATGACTTGCCATTTTGGCATTTACATTCTCAATATCACCTTGAAGACTGTCTTTTTTATTTTCTGGGGACAGATCTTGACAATCATTTATGGTTAGTGGTGCTTTTAATCTTTATTCCACACTTTCTCCATGCTTACCATGATTTTCCTATTTTAGGTGGGTATATTGGACATTATTGTGTGACTGAAAAGCTGCACAAATCTTTAAATTGTCCGAAGATGCGATGTGATGTTATCCGGTATGTGCATAGTTGTGTTTGGTGTCAAGCTCGTAATACTACCCTTTGTGCTACAGAAGGATGGCTGAAGTCAATTGTAATTTCCTATTCATTTAAGTTGGTGGCATTTGATTTGACAGGACCTTTTTCACAATCGACTGCTAGTAATGAGTATGTCATTATTTCTTTTGACTACTTGACTTACTGGATGGAAGTCAGTGCTCTTGCTAACACATCTGCAATTGCTATTGAATACTTCCTCTTCAATCAGGTAGTATTTCAACATTCCTATCCATAATGGATTCTTTTAGATAATGGTCCTATATTTATAGCTGAGGCATTTCATGTTTTGATGTTTTGGTTGGGGATATATCACACTTTCACAAGTGCTTATCATTCACAGTCAGACGGTTTGGTGGAATGACTCGTTCATATCTTTAAAAGGATAATGGCAAAGTATATGAACTTTCAGCATTCGGATTGGGATGGTTTTTTTCCATCTCTTTGGTATATATACATCACAGGGGTGTAGAGTTTTATTGATGTTTCACCATATAAATTCCTATATGGTCATGATCTAATACTACCAATAGAGTTGGTTTACCTTAACAATTGCCACGGGCTACCAATGCTAGGTCGTGGGATCAATATTTGATAAGCATTCTTCCACTTATTCAAATAAAGTCTACCGAACACTTGAGCCACGTACAAGTGGGACAACAATGGTGTTACAATTGCTATCATCATCCATCTGCAGAGTATAAAGTGGATGACTTGGTGTTAGTCCATTTTCCCCATTTTATTATGTAGTTTATCTAAGGGGTTCCTTGTTTAGTGGAAAGGTCCATATTAGATGTTGCGGCAAGTTGGACCGCAAGTTTATAAGGTTTGATATGACATCTAACAGGCCGATCCTTCGGAAATTGTGCATATGCAACGATTGAACACTTTGTACAAAAGGATCATGAACAATTAACATTACCTATAGATCCATTAATGCTTCTTCTTGATGTTCTTCCAAATCCTAGCCCATTCACAAGAAAACCTTGACAATCTTCCATTATTATGAGAGAAGGGAATGAAATATGAGTGCATGGAATATAGAAAGAGATATGCATATTAATTAGCCCAAAAACTCTAGTTTATATATAGAAGTGAGTGATTTGGATTAAAACTAATTTGATGGCTACCAAAATCCCACTACACTAATATTAATATACAACATCGTAGTTATACATTTGACCTCACAAAAAGAAATTGTTAAATTTAACATAATATATTTTTGTGAAAATTAGCTGCAGATAAATTTATATTATCTTCCCATATTTATGTAATAAAAAATAAATTAAAGAGTTTTTTTATATATTGTGCTTTAAATTTTCTTCTAAGTAAATTTTCTTTAAACAGTTAAATGAAAATTATAGAAAGATAAATGAAGAGTACAAACCAATAAAAGTGCATCTAACTTATAAAATCTTATTAATTTCTTTTTAAAATCTTATAGTCAACTTCAACTAAAAATTAGTTGCAGTATGAGTCAAGTGCTTGATTGCATCTTTACACAAGATCTGAGCTCCATGAGGTATTGTGGGAGTGAACCTCTGCAGCTTTGCATACTGTGATATAAGCTCAAGCATATATCTGTAGACGTGGTCCATTGTCAACTCCTTGGTTATAAAGTCCTGCCCATGCCTGCCTATCGCTTCAGCCTAGAACAACAACATTTGTCAACATAAATTGAAAACAAGTGTGGATTTTTCTACCTCAAGTGGATGAGAGTTTCCCCACTTGACTGCCGCTTGTATCTCTTGACACATCGTATCTGGGTTTGCGCTTATGGCCAGATGAGTCAAGTTTGGTATTAGTCCAGCACTGAAAAATTCTCTGTACTTGGATTCTACGTTCAACATGGTGGAACCGCATGCCATCCGGTATTTCAGGCTCGCTGACCATGCGGCCCCTTCCACGTAAATATTAAACCTGGAAAAGACTAAAGTCAACGTAAGGTAATATTTCCTGCCATTTACCTATCTTTGCATTGTTGTGACAACCTTGAATTTGGGAATCCAGCTCTCGATTCAGATATCCAATCCTGGCAAGGAACCTTACAGCTTTATCCATAAGGTTGAACTTAGCTTACCTGGTCAAGGATTTCCGTTTCCAGAGATTGGCACTGAAGAAGATGCCTCCGCAGCTTTCCCATCCGAGAGTTTCCCTTCCAAAATGCAGCCGGCCTTCTCTCGCTCCATTTCACCTCCCGAGAGCCAGCGGTGATCTGCTGAGATTGTTCCTCCCACGGAGGGATATCCACCTCTGGCCTGCACACAATAGCTAAATATTCCTGTAACCATGATTCTTACCATCCCCAGAATGAGAAGTCAGGAAACGGTATGTCGAGCATATCATTAGTTGTGCAATAGCTGAATACTGCTGGAGCTTCATCCTCCTGATTCAAAGAAACTTTAGAAAATATATGATTTCGTTGATACGACTACCTGACACAAATCTCTGGAATGAAAGGAAGCGCGTTATCACTGGGCGGTCTTTGCAGTTGAGCACAAAATCAACGTCAGGGACCTTTCCAGGAAACCTTTCTAGCAACAGTAAAAGTCCCCATGCTGTGAAGATGCTGCGGCTTTGTGGGCACTTTCCGTACACCTCTATATAGAGCTTTCCTTGAGAAATCACCATCCGCATTGAGCCTTTCCTCCTTGCGGCACTCAAGCTCGATTTCGTGATCCCGCCATCTTTCCATGGCCGCAAGTCCGTGTCAATACTGTCAAAATATTTTGGACGAGAATGGTTTTGAAAACCCTGGTTATGGTTGTCAACCCTAGGTTCGGGTTCCTGCGAGCAATGAAGCCGAGCAGACCTCACTAACGCAGACTCCTCTGAAACTTTCCAATTTATCAGAACGAGCGCTGTCAAGAAACCCAGCCCCGTGACAAGATACCTTTTCTTCATCCCTGCTCAAATTGTCTAAAACCCTTTGTGACTTCCAATAAGAGAAGAGCTGCGCCGACTTCACCCAATATCTATGATTAAAACGAGGGATTGCTCCTTGTCTGGCCGTGTGGTCAAAGCTTAGCCTCGTCTCGTTCCAGTGGACGTCAAGGTAAGCCCAGAGTGCCATGGCTCCTCCTGGATGGGGGAGTGATGGAGGATGTGAGGGAGTGCTCTTGGCCCAGGCCGGGACTTGGTCTCTTTGTTGGCCATAGCGGGAAGATCGTCGAGTCATGGCAGCAACTAGCAAACGTGATTGAAGGTAATCGCGGAATCTTCTCATCATACAATACAGTGGATGGTTTACATTGCATTCAAGCTCTCTTTTCTTCTCGTTAGCCGTCGGCCCCTTGGCGGCGTGAGCTGGATTAACTTCCTGAGCCGCCAAGCCCGCGATGAGATTAACGACTTCCTCGGAAATCCGTCACCCCATCCTCGGAGTCCACTGTGATCGCAAACGGGACGTCCGTTCTAGGGTGTCGATCTTGTCTGCGAGCACCGCTTCCCTGAGAGCTCGAAGCGATCTCGTCGATCTTCAGGTTTCGGAAGACCATGAGCGACCAGCAGAGGAAAGCGGAAGACGTTAAGCTGCCTGTCGACTCCACCGCGCGTGTTGAAGCAGTTCTCGAAGAGGCAGTAAATGATGTGGCCAATGCTTGTCAGCATTGCAAATGTGAATTTGCCTCACCAACCTCGTTTGCATCTCCAGAACTATGACGAATGGCCAGCTCAGGTGAAGGAACTAAAAAAAGGTAATGCCAGAATGAGACGATCCTGGTCTTCCTGACGCGGCCTCGACCTACTGGAGCTTGAACTTGTGATCGATCTCGTCCTTCGGCCCCCTCCTCCTGCCCTGCGGATTGACGAGAGCTTGTTGCTCGACCAAATCTAGCCTACATCCCGCTTAAACCTTCGCATTGCCGGTTTATCTACTCGCTCGTTTAATATTCTATGCCGCAGTTCACCGGCTGCGTGCATGCTTATACCGCGCGGGGATCATCCAATTCCAATTTATTCTACTCAAATTGTGGTGCTATGTCCTGTCCAAGGAAATAAAGCTTCCTCACTGACGCTATGGGGCGGTAGAAATTCGTGGCCGGGGCTGTGGCGGAAGTCCTTGGAAAGATGCTGCGACACAGCAAGTGATGTAGCTTTTGGACTTTCGATCTAGCTTTTTAGCTATTTTGTGCAGGATTTTGCTCATTGCGCTCATCTTTGGTTGTGTTCTTGGAAACGGCGACGATACTTGGTTTTCTCTTGAATGTGTTGCGTCCACGACTTTCCGAGTGACCGCTTTTCCGAATGGACATACCGTTCGCCTGCGTCCGGATGACGGCCAGCAATGGAATGCCACTTACGATGACAGATTCCCTGGTGCTTACTCCCTTATAAACCGTGCAACTGGATTGGCGCTATTTCACACGGACGTAGCCATGGATGAGGTGGCTCTTTATTTCAATTTGCTCCCAAATCTCTCTGAACATTGTCTTTTTTTTCTTTTTTTTTTCCAGGTTTATCAGGAAAAAAACGAGCTGGCTGCAGCATTGTGGGTGGATCAGCCATTCCAAGGCTCACAGCTGTGGAGGACAATCGAACCATATTCTCAGCAAGGCATGGTGCTGGATGCCTTTCGTCCTCACCACAAGGATCATCTGGTTGATGGTAACGAGGTTATTATTTTCCCGATAGCGCCTGAAAAATATATGCAAAATCAAGTATGGAAGCGAAACATAGTAAACTCTTAACTAAGGTCTTCCAGAAGTCCACCGTACACTCACAGTTCATGCTGTCTGTCCTATGTATGGCTCCGTTCGAGTTTTCTTCTTTCTCAGGCCCTCTCGTCACTCAATCTACAATGACGATTGTGCGCTCATCCTCACTCCTCCTCCTCTTCGCGATTTTCCTCCTCTCCAGCGTCAGCGAGCTCCAAGATCTCCTCTTCTACTCGAGGTCCGCGCGCTTGCTCCACAAATCCGCGGCGCTCCATTGCTCCGCCGGCGATGGTCCCAGCGATCGCGGGCGGCCTCCAGGATCGCGCAACAGCAGCGCCGGCGTCGCATTGTGCCCACGATATTTCGCGCGGATTCACGAGCACCTGGCCCCATGGCGATCGACAGGGATCACGAGGCGGAGCCTGGATCGCCTGGGGTCAATGCGCGTCGCCATCCTCCGCAGCGACATGTACGTTAGTGCGTACGGCGATTGCCCGCAGAGCCGCCGCGCCTTCTCGCTATGGGGCTTGCTCTTGATGCTGGAAAGATTTGGCGATCGCGTCCCGGACGTGGAGTTTGTCCTGAATTGTAAGGATCGGCCCATCGTGCCCAGGGATGGATCCGAAGTTCCTGCCCCTGTTCTCAGCTATTGCAGCCATCGCTTGAGCTTGGACATCCCTTTTCCCGATTATTCTTTCTGGGGATGGTAACCATGCATTTTTTAATTTTCTTTTCTCCTTTTAAGTGTGTTTGTTTAGGCCGGAGGTAAACATTCGTCCGTGGGAGGAAGAATCGCAGGAAATATTTCAGGGATCCCAAGACGTTGAATGGAGTAATAGGCAACCTTTTGCATTTTGGAAAGGTAATTTAAGAATGGGGAAGTTAAGAACCCTTTTAGCTCGGTGCAACTCCACCAAATTTGGCACGCTTGTCCTGGATCAAGTAAGCATTTTCTTATTTTCTTACTTACGGTGTCCAATACTGCCTTGTAGAATTGGATTGATGAAGCCAACATTGGATACGAAAATTCCAACTTATGCAAACAGTGCAATCAAAGGTAGAATTATAGTTCGCTACATTTGAAAGCTCTTGTAATGCTCTTTCCATGTCCAGGTACAACATCTACGCCGAGGGAGCAGCATGGTCGGCGAGTCTCAAGTATAAAATGGCTTGTGGCTCCACTTTGCTCTACTTGGACTCAGAGTACGATGAGTTCTTCACCAAAGGTTTGCTCCCAAACATCCACTTTCTGCCAATATCTTCAAAGGAGGAGGACATGTGCCAATCTCTAAAAAATGCGGTAGGGTGGGGAAACTCCCATGCCCAGCAGGTATCTCAACATGAGAAGCTTTTGGCATTGCCTTCATTCGGGATTTTTCCAGGCCCAGAATATTGGGAGAACTGGACAGGATTTCATACGGGAGCAAGTAAACATAGATCAAGTATACAACTACATGTTTCACCTTCTACTGGAGTATTCGAAACTGCAGAAATACACGCCAAAAATACCCAAGGGAGGTCAGCTTTTCTGTAAAAGAGCAATCCAATACGTTGCAGACTATTCTAGCAAACATCTGGAAAGAGTCAAAGACTCTGAACCATGTAGGCTGACTTAATGAAAATGGAAGACATTCTCAATTGTAGAAAAAAGGGGTGAAATGTTATTTTTCACGCTGCAGACGAAGACGAGCTTGACCTTGATATACATGAGCTGCGGGAACTCCTCCTCCAGGTGTCGAGCTCGTTGTTGCTGCGCTCCGCCCCAACTCAAAGTCACAGCTTGGAGGTCGGGTGTTGATCCAAGTCCCAAAGAGTAGAAAAAGAAAACATCACTTTGAAGATGTTTGAGGAAGAGCATGGCTTGCATGAAAACTCATCCTTGGAACGAGTCCCTCGAGTCCACATACAGCCCGGGGAACTTTTTGTAGGAGCGCTTCCATCCTCAGGATCATCTATAAACAATTGCGGATCTTTCTAAGCATCGGAAGATCGACCTTCTGTGGCATTGCATTCACGCTCTCTTTAATTCTTTTTACTCGTCGGTTTCATCCGAGGCCTTGGCGGCCACGTGAGCCGGATAAACTCCCTGGACTTCTTTCCAGCTCCTTTTTCCAGCCGACATGTCCGCGATGAGATCAACGACTTCCTCGAGTGGAACTCGTATCTGATCCTTGGAGTCCCTGTCCCTCACCGTCACCCCATCCTCGGAGTCCACTGTGATCGCAAACGGGACGCCGATCTCGTCCGTTCTAGCATATCTTCTGCCAATGGACCTGCCGGTGGTGTCGATCTTGTTTCCGATCCCCGCTTCTCTGAGCTTTGCAGAGATGGCCCGAGCGATCCCGTCGAGCTTCGGGTTTTGCACCAGCGGAAAGACCGTGCACTTGACGGGGGCGACCAGCGGAGGGAAACGGAAGACGTTGAGCTGGCCGTCGACTCCGCCACGCGTGTCGAAGCAGTGCTCGAAGAGGCAGTAGATGATGCGGCCAATGCCGAAGGAAGGCTCGATCACAGACGGCGTGAACTTCTCTTTGCTCTTCTTCGTCACCTGTTTGTTAAAAGTAACCATCCCTTTCTTGATGGTGAACGTCTTGTCGGCATTGCAAATGTGAAGTGGTGCCTCGCCATCGGATTCCAATTTCTTTTGCATCTCCAGAGCCTCTTCATTGTTAAGTTCCTAGAGGAATGGCCAGCTCAAGTAAAGAAAACTTAAACAATAGTATACCTGTAATGCTTCCAGCACCAGCTTCTGGTTTGCCTTGAAAGCAACACCAATCTCCTTCCTGTTTGGAACAGCGGCAAACTCCTGGAAACAAACATGTGAAGTTGATACACTCAGTTTCCTCTATCAGTCGTACCTCTACGACAACAGGCTCGGGTAAATCCCGTGAAGCCACGAGGTTGCTTTTGCTAGCTGTCTGCACAGACACAGAAAGAAATAAAGACGACAACTAAGAGGAATAAAAGGGAGAACAGCTTACCGAGTGCGCTTTCAAGTCGTAAGCAGATCTATCCGCAAGACCGACACATTCTATCCATCCGTAAGAGCACTCAATCTCAGCGTCCCAGCAATCCGCGGCATAGTGCGCCATCTCGTTGGCAAGGTGCTGCCTAAACCGAAGCCGGTTCTTGTTGATGCCCAGAGCAGTCAAGAACAAGTATGTTCGTCCAATGTAGTAGCCCAGCGTCTCATTGTTGATAACTTTCTGTGCCACGGCGTGCCCGAGGCGCACCTTGACTGGATCCTTCAAGCTCATTTGCTCTGCTCTTGGATAGAGGAAAAACTCAAGGTCTGCAACGCTTGCGAACTTTGGATGTGACTTGTCCGCGGGATCCACGAAAAACTCTATCTCTGCGAGAGTGAACTCGCGAACCCGTAGCAAGCCTTGCCGAGGAGCAATCTACAGTATCATGCCTCAGCTCACACGTAAAGCTAAAAGTTCCGTACCTCATTTCGAAATGCCTGGCCAATTTGAGCTGCGCCAAAAGGAAGCTTGCCACCATTATAATACAAAAGCTCGTTGAAGTTGACGAAAATTCCCTGAGCAGTCTCCGGCCTCAAGTACCTGGAATAGGAAGAATAATCTAAGTTCATTAAAAAAGGAAGCAAGAAGAAAAGCGAAACGCTTACCCTTGAAGAAGTCCAGTGGGACCAATCGGTGTACCAAACATTAAGTTGAAAGGAAACGGATCGGACAAGTCATTCTTTGTGTCTGGAGCCCGGATGCCATACTCTTTAATCTTCGCACCAAGCTCCTCGACACTAAAGTCGTCCAGAGACGCGAGAGTTCGCGTATAGTCGTCCCGCTTCGCCGCTGGCATGCGAGGATCCTTTTCCAGAGCATCCTTGACGAAATCCTTGAGGACATGATCGGCTCTAAAGCAGTGCCCCTCCTTGACGTCCCTGACCATCAAGTCCGTAAACTTCTCAACGTGGCCAGAGGCCCGTAGAACAGCCTCAGGGGTCAGGCAGGGGCAGTCTACTTCAAGAAGATCATCGTTCACGACGAAATGCTGAGAAACAAGAAGAAAAAAACCAAGAATGTGAGAAAAAAAGATTTTTCCTTCTGGAAGAACATACCTGGCGCCAGAAGCTCAAAACGTTGGCCTTCACAGCGCAGCCGGGAGGACCGTAGTCGAACAATCCGGCAACACCACCGTAAATCCCGAAAGAATTCGTGAAAAACATCCTCCTCTCCAGCGCATTCGTGACAGCCTCGCGAAATCTCTTGCCACTTGCCTGGGAGGAGGTGCCGCTCGACTCATCCTGGCTCGCTTCCTCTTTCGGTGACGCGGCCTCGAATTCCTGGAGCTTGAATTTGAGATCCTTGAGCAGCGTGACGGCGGCATCGATCTCCTCTTTTGGCGCCTTCCTCGCCTTGAGCGCCCGGACGAGATCGCCCTGCCGATTGACGAGCGCTTGCTGCTCGACCAAATCTACATCCCGCTTAAACCCTAAGTTTGCGTTGGCTAGGGCTTTTGCCGAGAGATTTCTTCGATGCTGCTGAAGCAAGCGTGGAGGAGGACGAATTCTTGCCAGGAGAATCATCGCCTCCTCCACCGCGCGCGCCGCCTCGCCACTGGCAATGCCGGCCCGGAGGACGCGATAAGCGCGGACAGAGAAACCCTCAAATCTGGGGCCAGGTTTACTGCCACTCGCGCGTTTAGCCAGGATGATCTAGCGCAATATTCCGGCCTCTCTGGCGATAGCAATCCCATCCACACGCAGCGATCGTCCGCCCAGGCCGCCGGCTTCGCTGGCGGCTGCGTCGTCCATGGGATGCTCACCGCGGGGCTCTTCCCAGCGATCATCGGCTCCAATTTCGTAAGGATTTCTCTCGAATCTCTGGAATTCTCCTTGAACTCTGTGTGAATCCAGCCAGGCGCGATCTACGTCTCCCAGACGCTCAAGTTCCAGCAGCCGGCATTCGCAGGAGACGATCTTGTGGCGCAAGTCACTGTCCTGGATTGCGTGAGGATCAAGCGACACTACAAGTAAGATGCTCCAACCGACAAAGTCTTAGATCCATCGAATCCGCGTGATTTCACGATCTTCCAGGGTGACTTTCGCGACATCTTGCTTCAAATGTACTACGCCAGACGCGATCGTGGTGGATGGAACTGCCGTGGCGCTCTTGCCAGGATGAAGAAGAGGAGAAAAAAGAGAGACAAAGGGACAAGAAAGCGTTTCTCCCAGTTTTCGAACCCGGGTCTTTGGCGGGCAGTTATCTTTGAACGGCAGATCTCGCCGTCTATCTGGAAACGGAAGATTCCGTCGACACATTTTCTAGCTCTGTGCATGCCAAGAAAGGAATATGCGTCGCTCGGCTATAACGTCGTCGGACTTCACATAAGCTCTTACCCGCCCTAATTTGTTCTCGGTCTCCTCTCTCTCACTCCGGCTATGGCGATCGCATTGTGGACGGCATTGGCGTGATCTCTTACGCGAGCTCCAGATCAAGGCGCAGCTCCCGCCTCCCGATCGATCGATCGCTGGTCCTCAGCTTAGGTACGTAATCTCCCTTTTCTCTTTCCGATCTCCAGGTTATCGTGGTGGATTTGTGTGCTCTCTCTCTCTCGAAATATCTTCTGATTGCTTGAATCTCTCTCCCTCTGCGCTCTTTCCTGACCGCTGGCAGCCAGCTCGTCTCTTCCTCGTCGCTGCTTTGTCGAAATTTCATGCCTGGAGCTGAGAAAATCTGATATTTCGTCCAGATCTCCCCACAGCCATGACGGCCGGCGCGGATCGGTGCAATGGCGACTCCCACTACACGCCGCGCAACATCCTCATCACCGGCGCCGCGGGCTTCATCGCTTCTCACGTCGCCAACAGGCTGGTCCGGAGCTACCCGGGCTACAAGATTGTGGTTCTGGACAAGCTTGACTACTGCTCCAACCTCAAGAACCTTTACCAGTCCAAGGAGAGCGCCAACTTCAAGTTCGTCAAGGGCGACATCGCGAGCGCGGATCTCGTGAACTACCTGCTGATCACAGAGGGGATCGACACCATCATGCACTTCGCGGCGCAGACCCACGTCGACAACTCGTTCGGCAACAGCCTCGAGTTCACTAAGAACAACATCTACGGCACTCACGTCCTGCTCGAAGCGTGCAAGGTTGCCGGCACCATCCGCCGCTTCATTCACGTGAGCACGGACGAGGTGTATGGCGAGACCGAGGCCGACGCCATTGTGGGAAACCACGAGGCGTCACAGCTGCTGCCCACGAATCCTTACTCGGCGACCAAGGCTGGAGCCGAGATGCTTGTCATGGCTTACGGCAGATCTTACGGCCTCCCCTTCATCACCACACGGGGGAACAACGTCTATGGCCCCAACCAGTTCCCGGAGAAGCTCATTCCAAAGTTCATCCTCCTGGCGATGCAAGGCCGGCCGCTTCCCATCCACGGCGACGGGAGCAACGTTCGCAGCTATCTCTATGCTGAGGACGTGGCCGAGGCCTTTGAGGTGGTGCTTCACAAGGGAGAGGTTGGTCACGTATACAACATTGGGACGAAGAAGGAGCGGCGGGTGCTGGACGTTGCCAAGGACATCTGCAAGCTCTTCAAGCTGGACCCGGAGGTGTGCATCCAGTTCGTGGACAACCGGCCCTTCAATGACCAGCGCTACTTCCTGGACGACAAGAAGCTCAAGGACCTCGGGTGGCGCGAGAGGACCACCTGGGACGAGGGGCTGCTCAAGACGATGCAGTGGTACACGAGTCACCCGAACTGGTGGGGTGACGTTTCTGGCGCGCTGGTCCCGCATCCCAGGATGCTCACCATGACCGGGGAGAAGCTGTCCCACGAGGACGAGGAGTCTACCGGACCTGTGGTGGGGAACATCGGGATGATTGTTCCACAAAAGGTCTCGCCTCTCAAGCCGGCGATGAAGCTACTGATATACGGGCGGACAGGCTGGATTGGTGGACTCCTGGGAAAGATCTGCGAGAGAGAAGGGATCCCGTACGAGTATGGATCCGGCAGGCTCGAGAATCGGTTGCAGCTCGAGGCGGACATCTTGACAGTGAAGCCTACACACATTTTCAACGCAGCAGGTGTGACGGGTCGGCCTAATGTGGACTGGTGCGAGAGCCACAAGGTGGAGACTATCAGAGCCAACGTTGTCGGCACACTGACCCTGGCCGACGTGTGCAAGCAGCACGGATTGCTGCTCATGAACTTTGCGACGGGCTGCATTTTCGAGTACGATGACAGCCACCCCATCAACAGCGGCATCGGGTTCCTGGAGGATGACAAGCCCAACTTTACGGGCTCCTTCTACTCAAAGACTAAAGCAATGGTACGTGGCTTTATTCCATTCCTTTTGTTAGGCGCTCATCTCTTCCCTGCTTTTCCTTTTCCTGAAACTTTTAAAGGTGGAGGAGCTCCTGAAATGCTACGACAACGTATGCACGCTGCGCGTGAGGATGCCCATCTCGTCCGACTTGAGCAACCCGCGCAACTTCATCACCAAGATCACGCGGTACGAGAAAGTGGTAGACATCCCCAACAGCATGACGGTGCTGGACGAGCTGCTGCCGCTGAGCATCGAGATGGCCCGGCGCAACTGCACGGGCATCTGGAACTTCACGAACCCGGGCACGGTGTCGCACAACGAGATCCTGGAGATGTACCGCGAGTACATCGACCAGGGATTCAAGTGGTCCAACTTCACGCTGGAGGAGCAGGCCAAGGTGATCGTGGCGCCGCGCAGCAACAACGAGCTCGACACCAAGAAGATGGAGAAGGAGTTCCCGCAGCTCATGCACATCAAGGACTCTCTCGTCAAGCTCGTCTTCGTCCCAAACAGCAGCAGCAACGGGGACAAGAAGTGAGAGAACCATCGACCATTTTTTCACCCCCTTTGTTTTTCTTACAATTGAGAAGAGAGAGTATACATACGTATAATTCCATTTAATAAATTCAACCATTAGAACCCTACGAACTTTTAAAGGACAACGTATGATGCAGGAATGAAGAAAAGGTCTGATCACGCTCTGGCAGTGCTCGATTTCCACCGAGCAGGATCCAGAGGTTAACTTAGACAACAAGGGTTTCCAAAACCGCTCGCTGGAATGGCGTCGGAAATACTTCAACAGCATCGAGGCCATGGAAAAATGGCGGGATCACGGAATCGAGCCTGAGCGCCGCGAGGAAGAAAGGCTCAATGCCGGTTGTGATTTCTGGAGGAAATCTCTACATAGAGGTATACAGGGAGTGCCCGCAAAGCGGTAACATCTTCATACCGTGGGGGCTTTTGCTGTTGCTTGAAAGGTTCCCTCGAAAGGTCCCCGGTGTTGATTTTGTGCTCAACTGAGAAGACCGCCCAGTGATCACGCGACACTCGTTCTCTCCTTCCAGAAAATTTGGTCAGGATCATGAGGATGATCAAGCTCCAGCTCCATTTTTTAGCTATTGCACAACCAATGATACACTTGACGTACCGTTTCCTGACCTCTCATTCTGGGGATGGTGAGAATCATGATATAACATGCATATCTAGTTATCAGGGTGAGCTTTGCAGGCCGGAGGTGGATATCCCTCCGTGGGAGGAACAGTCTCAGCCGATCGTCCCTGGCTCTTGGGAGGTGAAATGGAGCGAGAGAAAGCCGGCTGCATTTTGGAAGGGAAACTCTCGAAAGCTGTGGAGGCATCTTCTTCAGTGCCCAATCTCCGGAAACGGAAATCCTTGACCAGGTAAGCTAAGTTCAGCCTGATTGATAAAGCTGTAAGGTTTCTAGCTAGGACTGGGTACATGAATCCAGAAATGGATTTCAAGACTCAAGGCTGTCACAGCAATGCAAAGACAGGTAAATGGTACCACGTTGACTTTTGTGTCCATGTTGACTTTGTTGTCCATATTTAACATTTACGTGGAAGGGGCCGCATGGTCAGCGAGCCTGAAATACCGGATGGCATGTGGCTCTACCATGTTGAACAGAGAGTTTTTCAGTGCGGGATTAACACCAAACTTGACTCAAGCTCAAAGCCAGATACAATGTGTCAAGAGATACGTGAAGCAGTCAAGTGGTATTCACTTGAGGTTCTAGAATACAGTTTTTGAGATACTGTGTTTTGACAATGCCATTGTGTTCTAGGCTGAAGCAATTGGCAGGCGTGGGCAGGATTTTATAACCCAGGAATTGACAATGGACCACGTCTACAGCTATATGGTTGAGCTTTTATCACAGTATGCAAAGCTGCAGAGGTGCACTCCCACAGTACCTCATGGAACTCAGATCTTGTGTAAGGATGTAATCAAGAGCCTCTTGATGTCAAAGTATTCGTGGGATAAAGTATAGCGGTGCATAAATCACATTCTCATATTCAAATGTTTTAATCTACTTGGGAAGACCACGACTTCATAAAAATAGAGTTTTGCTCCTTGCTTCGCATTCACTGTTTCCACAGTTAGAATGTAGTGTGCAATCTTCAACAACCGATCTACAAAAATCTTCCCAATTCTTGTGACAATTTTTCCCTTTTTGCATTTTTGTCGACATAATCTTCGTTTACTCACCTTGTAATCCCACACACTAGGATTAATGTCATTTTGCATGTGCCTCTTTATACCTATTGCTAATTATGCCAAAATCCCTTTTTAGCTTTGTTTAATTCAGATATATAGATTTTTCCTACCTTCGTAACCTTGGATACTAGATAGCACCTTTTATCTATTATTCATTAGGGATTTAGTCCCTTAGGCCTTATCTAAAGCCTTTATGATATCAAATACCACTTCTTGGTGTTTTAGAGTGTTTAAGTGTTATAATAATGGCCTTCTTTAACAATGAACATTTCTCTTTATAACATTGACTTACTATATCTCAACATAAATAATTTACCCCCCTGCGGGATATATCTAACCTTTTTTATCCTAATAAGAAGTCTTAAGAAGTTAACTTCTACCAATCTACTAAATTATGCCATATATTTTATTTAATTGCCTCATAATCGTCAAGTCCTAGAACTCATTGCTAATGCTTTCACACTTTTATCATTATTTAGGTCCACACACTTGAATTGCATGCCTTCTAGTTTAGGCTATACTAATCTCATTTCCATTGGGATTCCTTTAACAAAAGGTTCTCGTGAACCAACCGACTTGACTTCAAGGCCTTATCTCTTGAGACATTTGGGGTCTTCACCCCATCACCTCCACAAACCTACTTTCATAATACTTTCCATTCATGTTTAAGTCTTTGCTAAGACCAAAGCAATCATTTCTCATACCAACTATTAGTTAGTATTACACTATGGTGTTCATACATAACTCTATGCCAAAGTTTAGTATGGCACATTCTACCATTAATGAGATACCCATTGTTCTCATACTTAATCTTATGATCTTTCCCGTTCTTCATAGGATGTAACACACATTCGTTCAAATGCTTCTATCAGTCCTTTAAGACCATTCCTTGATTCCACTTGAGTCATTTAGCTCTTTAAACTTTTCTAATTCAATGACCCATAAAGTTTTAGCCTCATACTTATTTTTTATGTGTCAATTCACCGGAATACAACTTTTTGTATTCATGTTTTACTTACAAAGACTATCTACAGTAAATATTACTTTGACACTTAATTATTTTCCGTTCCCTGTGGGTTACCTTTGCCCCTTAAGACTATCTGTCTATATAATGAGAATACCGACTCATCCTCTAAGTACACCCCCAACTCTTTTGGGTTTATTCCAGCATTTATTAGAGGTAACCTCACTACTATTTCAAAGACTTATGTCTTTATTCATATTTAACCTCCCATGGTCATTAATTTTAGCCTCAAATTCTTAAAAACCATCCTTAACCATATGAGGATAACTTTATGACTCCTTTATCGTCTAGGAGTTTCCATCATTCCCGTGATCCCAACTATATTTATTTATTACAACCTTATCTGCCAATTTGCTAAAATCCCAAAGTTGTTCCCAAATTAGCCCTTTTCTACCCACCATATTGTCACTATGTTCACTTATGAACTAAGGTGGGGAGTCATGCCCTTTCGACATGTTACTCCTTGAGGGTAGGCCCACATTTAGGACCTTCTAATACCAAAACAAGTGGTGATATACTTGATCACCAATAAAAGTCGAATTAAGGAACAATTCCAATACTAAATTGTAAGCAATTAAATTTTCCATTCTACTTTAGTCACTTAACCACATCTTTGACCACATAAAGGAGTCTCACTCACAACTTTCATAAATCTTATTTTGAATTTGGGGACTTACTAGCCTTGAGAATGGCATCTATGCTATTCAACCTTTACACTTGGTCCAAATGCTCCATGTGTCTGATCTCATGATTAACACCCAAAGGGACCATTGACATATCAGCTCATTACACTAAAGCCATGCCCATTCACTTTTGTCACACTAGTGGTCCAACACCACTTACATCACAGTTTTGTCTCCCAAAGATTGGGCCATCCGTCCATGAGTGATCATCCCTTGACCAGACTTTGGCACCCTTAAGATGCACAGAGATATAAGGAACACCTTTCCCCAATGTCCCTTCTACCATCCCCAGTAAGTCCCTCTTTATTTATGGGCGCGGACCATACTTGAGCTCACGAGTTGAAGAGTTGAGCTCACGAGTTGAGCTCAATTTTCAATTGTAATTTAGTACAAACATTATAAATTTTAAAATTTTAAGGTTATGGCGAACCTAATAATTTAATAACTCTCTATATATTATATAGATAAAAATGTTCTAAAGAACACATTTTGTTCTAATAATTTAAATATTTACTACATGCAATGATAGGGACATTTGTTAGAACATAAAATAAAATGTTTGAAAAAAGAGTATTCTTGTCACTTCTTTAAATTTGTACTCTATGCTTTCTGGCTAGTAAATGTTAGGTTTGTCAGAATTAAAAAATTATTAAATTTAAAATAAGATTCTATGTGAAACCATATAACCGTTTGAAAGGAAAAAAAATAACCGTTGATGTAAGCTTATTGCATATAAAAGAAAGACTTGGTTCTTTGTAGAATACATTCTTGAGGGGTTTGTCGTAGCATACTGTCTAGAATTTATAGATCTTCATTCACACTCTCATTCGAAAAAAGGGAAATACACCCACAAATGTCTATGGGTTCTAGTGTTGGTAATTTTAACTCTCACAATCTTTCTTCCCAGGGCTCAAGGGCTAGGAGATGCAATAACTATCCCATTGCACAGCATAACCAAATCACACAAGAGAATGAAAGAGAGGATAGTGAGGATAGTGATCATGAGTTGGAGATAAATGCAATGACAGAGGGTGCAACAAATTGGGTGAAAAAGAATGCCCTCTTACTTGTTTTAGAAAAGTGCAGTTCTGCCACTTTCAAGAAGTGCCCCATATGTTTTCTAGCGTCTGGTGGAAACAATGGCAATGATCAGTATGATGGTATATATGCTCTTGCGACACACTGTAACATCACGCACCCGAAAGACTACCATGAAATCTTTTTTGAGATGGTAAAGACAGAAATGGAGACACACGAGTACTATGGGCAGTATTGCGAGAAGAACACTCGGAAGCATATAAAATGAAAAGTGAAATGAAAAAGCACATTTGTATTAATTATATAAAGTATAATAAGTTTTATTGATAGAGAATAAACATCGATAGTGTTGGAGAAATCTAATTAGCTCCAAAAGTTTTCTGCAACTCAGCAATAGTAAGGCTTGCTTGGTGTATATGAATATCCACTTTAGGATCCTGGTGCAAGATGTTGATGAAGATGTAGTACATATGCTTGCAAGGAGCATATGCCTTCCCATGTTCCTCGCGCTTCGTAAAGTCTAGACATGTGCAAGAAGGAAAGTCGTGAATGGCAATTGTGTACTCTCCACCTTCTGTTTTGACTATGTACTCCTTTGCAAGCGCAGTGATGTACTTCGTAGAGAGAATCTCACACTCAAGTGTTTGAGCCAAGTTTATTTTACCTTGCTTCTGCTTGGAGACGGTACCAATAAATTTAACTGCTTTACCTTTTCGTGCTGGCCTCCTGTGCATCTCTGTAGGAATAGTCCTGCTCCTGTCACTCATGTCTCCAACTCTCCTCTCAAGATTAAAACCAGATTTCTCAAGGTTTTCAATCTCATCCGAGGTGAGCGCGACCCCATTAACAACTGGCCATTCTTTAGGTACTGCATCAGGTTTAGTCACTATAGTGTCTTCAAGCCGCTTCGTATGGTTGGCGTCGGTGTTGCAACAATATAGCCAGCACCATCTTGAAAATCCTGCTTGCTTTCGTTCCCCATAGAAACATGGGGCTGGAACAGAAGCAGATTTTTCACCACGAATCCAAGCCCAACACTTGCCCCTCGGAAGCATCCCCACACACCTTACATTTGATTTTGCTGGCACACGTCGGATTGCCCATTGCTTCGGCTCCACGTTACGATAAGCAATTTCAACCTGTTGCGATGCACTCTCTTCATCAGCCACTTGAGGTGGCTCAGTCCGAGAGCGGTGTCTTGGAGCAGAATGGTACTCGACATCAGGCCTGTGGGAGCTTTTTGCTCCAAGGTCCGTACCAACATCTTCCCTAGCAAAGGAAAAACGACGCTTTGAGCGGACAGTCTTCATATCACCAATAGAAGCTCGGGGAGTGTACTCCATAGATGTGCCATGGACCACTTCCTCAACTGCAGTTGCCACTGTTCGGGCGGGTGGAGTTAATTTTCTCTTCATCCTATCATGTAACATCTCAACAGAAGGCCCTGTTCCCATGTATCTTCCTTCCTCGAATGCCAGTGCTTTTGAAGATTGCTCTATAGCACGTATCAAATCTGATAGACAGGCTTCGTATAGACTCATCTTCCCTTTCCCTGCCTCAGAGGAACGCCAACTCCAATGCTTACTTTCGGAGAGATTCACAGTTGGGGTGTATGCGAGGTCCTCAAGTGGTTGATCCTAATGGAAAAGGCAATATTAAAAGGTAATAAAAGGAGAAGAAAAAATATAAACCAACCTGAAAAGAGTGATGTCCCCATTGGAACATCCTAACTTCCCACCATCCTAACCATGACTCAAGTTGTGGTAGGCAACTTACGTCTGTATGGCCATCTTCACGCCACCACATTCGAATCTCGTTTGCTTTTGCCTCATGCTCTTCTTCAGAAGGTGCAACCTGCCATTGTTTGCACAACTCCTTAAATATTGATTGAAACTCTGGCTTGATAAGGTGGTAGTGCTGGTTTAGGCTTTGAGCCCAATGGAACTCACAAGTCCTCTCACGACCTTCCAATGGTTGACCATTCCCAAAAACTGCTCGGATACCATTCCAGTTTGCACCAGCCCCATC